AAAAAACAAACCAAAACCACCAGAAGACGTGTAGGTTTAAAAATCTGTCAAGAGCAGGAACGTGTTTCATAAATTAGAAACTCTTTTCTGTTGATTCCTCCCTCAACCAGAGTGATCTGGACACCCAACCATGATGCAGGAATTTTGACACTCATCGTTTCTTACCATAGAATTAAGGACCAGTTTGGCAGGATGGCACCTGCCCATGCCCTGGTCTTCCCTATGGTCCCCAACGTGGACACTGCTGTATGCAGGAGACCTTCAGGACTGGGCTCTACTTGCTGTAACATCTGAAAATTTGGCATTCAGGTTACGTGTGAGTCAGCTCAGGTAACACCACTGCATATTTATTTTCCTTATGCAGAAGCAAATTAAGAAATAGGGGCAGGAAGTTGTGTGCAATTGCTCGTTTTTAATTGAGATGTCATTTACAGTACTTATTAGAATGAGTGCTGTAAGAATAGTCATATTAGGTGTACACATCTGCTAAGAAGCTGTTCTCTGCATGGTTGCCATTGCATGTATTCAAAGGGAGAAACACACTCTTGTTATTAAGAAAGTCAGCTCTGGCGTGGCTTTGTTGGAAGGTTTGGGCACAGGATCTGTGCATGTCCCCATTTCTATCCGCAGGAGCTGGATAGTGTTTCCTGCTCTGCAGCTCAGCTTCAGCCCCAGACCAAGGCTGATGTGAAGCTTGTAAAGAGAGACTAGAGATTCCCATGGGTTAAATCACCCATCGCTCTGTTAACACCCAGTGCTCACAACATCACTGCTATTTGGAGCTTCTTCCGTGCAAGATCTGTGCTTGGACCTGCTCTTCAGTTGAACCTTTATCTGCACTTGTGTTTTCATATAGGTTTAAGTACTGGAAAACCATCTATAGCACTACTGAGCCAGACAGGCCCCTCAGCTTTGCATTTTGTAGCTGACTCTCTCCCAGGAAGTTTTCCAACACAAATCCATCCCTCTTCTCAATGGCTGATTTGGAGCCTGTCTGGCCTCACGTCAAAACCTTATTTTCATGAGTCATTAAGATTGGAAAAGACCACTAAGATCATCTAGTCCAATGGTCAACCCATCCCCACTATACTCACTACATCATGTCCCTCAGTGCCACATTCACTCCTTTTTCTTGAACACCTCCAGGTAGGGCGAGTCCTTCACTTCACAGGGCAGCCTGTTCCAGTGCCTTACCTGTTGCCTTTTGCTATTACTGGCCCTTTTTTGCTTCCAGGGTTATCTGGTGGGATTTATCTGAGAAGCAGCTTTTTGGTTAAAGTTACTTAGGGGACACCAAAATCTACTTCTCATAGTTGATACAATAGCTGCCTTCTCTGGGCTTTGTGGGCTGTGAAATGCCTGAGTTAGTGCTTGGACCTGGCATGTATTAAACTGCTGAGAATGAAGTGATGCTGTTGTTCTCTATATTTTCTGCAAAGACAGATGCTCAGTCAACCCCAAAATCCATTTTTTTGCCTCAGTATCTAATAACCCAGCTTGGCCATTGACTCTTATTGCTACCTGCTCTCTATAGGCTGGATTTGTAGCATCGTATCCCTTCAAACCTCCCAGTTGCTAATGGCCAAATGCTGCATTTCTTTCGTTTCAGAGTTGATTTGGGCTGATGAAAAAAGAATTCCACAGAATATATTCACCATTTTTATGCTGAAGATACTGCTAGAGGTGTTATATCTAAGACACAAGATGCTATTTAGGGAATTTAACAATAAGTTGTACAAAGTCTTGAGCTGAAGCAGCAAGAGTGTCCTTCAGAGACGTGATCTGTGGAGGCCAGAAGGATGGGCAAGTTCCACTCAGTGATTCTAGATGCTCTTAAGATAACTATTTTGCTATCCTGAAAATGAGATATATGAATAGTGGATGGAAAGATTAACATGAGCCAGCAACGTGTCCTTGCAATCCAGAAAGCCAACCAACTATATTCTGATGTATGCCTAACACCACAGATTTATTTTTACTACGTGGCTTCTGCAACTCTTATTCCAAAAATAAGATTCCTTTCCCTCAAATGAATCTAATCAGCGTGGGCTATTTTAAATATTCTGGGGGCTTGGATGGAAAAAGGGTAGAGAGCAGCACAGAGAGTGGAATGTGGTGAGCAACTGAGAAAAGGCAGAGTTGAGTAGAAGTATTTGTCCAGCATAGGAACTGCTCGGGAGCAGATCTTCACTTCTCATCACTTGCATTACAGGTTTGGAGTCCATCATTTCCCAGTGCATGTCCAACTTGTCTCTGTGCCCAGGATCTTTGGAAAAGAAATTAATTCCTCAGAGCAGGTGCAGCTTGTAACTTCTTGCAAACACCTCCAAGGGCAGATCTGCTATTACGAACGATGATTAGGCCCAAGGTGAGCTT